GATTATTATCTGGCTTTATAGTGTCTAACCCACCCCCCACTCCTGCGAAAGCCTATAGCTTGTGAGTCTAAACGACTAAGGATCGCTGCACCTTGCGTGAGCATCCACCTTTGTGATCGCTGCACCTTCGCGTGAGCATCCACCTTTGTGATCGCTGCACCTTTGCGTGGGCATCACTTAAAGTGAATAGTAAGAGGGACTAAGGAAGGATCGCTGCACATTAGGTATTAATTGTATAAGTATTTATTAATAAGTATTTATGTTAATGAGTTTAAATTCCACTTATTAACATTAATAAATTATCTTTAATATTCACAGATTATTAAAGCGAATGAGAAGGGTATAAGGTAATTAATTGTAAATAAGTATTTATGGATAAATATTTATGTTCATGAGTTTAATTTCATTTATTAATGTTAATAAATTATCTTTAAACTCGGATCAAATTAGAGCGAATAAGATGAATTTTAGGTATTAATCGTAAATAAGTATTTAAATATATATTTATAAATTTATGTTCATGAAGTTAATTCCACTACTAACGTTAATGAATTGTCTTTAATATTCACAGATTAAATTAAAATAAATGAGAAGGGTATTGGTAATTAATTGTAAACAGTATTAAGGATAATTATGAGTTTAATTCCACTACTAACGTTAATAAATCATCTTTAATATTAATATTCACAGATTAAAGCGAATGAGAAAGGTATTAGGTAATTAATTGTATATAAGTATTTAGAGATAAGTATTTATGTTAATGAGTTTAATTCCATTTGTTAATGTTAATAAAATTATCTTTAATATTTACAGATTAAAATTAAAGCGAATGAGAAGAGTATTAGGTAGTTAATTGTATATAATTATTTAGGAATAAGTATTTATATTCATGGGTTTAATTCTACTTACTAACGTTAATAAATTATCTAATATTCACGGATTAAAATTAAAGTGAATGAGAAGGGTATTGAGTAGATAAATCTTTGGAAGTAAGTATTTATTAAGAAAGTATCTATGTTCATGAGTTTAATTCCACTGTGCCCTTTAATATTCACAGATTAAATTAAGGAGAATGAGAAGGATATTAGATAATTAATTGTAAATAAGTATTTAGAGGTAAGTATTTATTAATAAATATTTTTCATGAATTTTAATTCTACTGAATAACGTTAATAAATCACTTTAATACTCAGAATATTTATTCACAAATATTCATAAACATTACTTTACTCATTTTGCATGAATTTAGAAAGTATAAAGAACAGTTACTAATCGAAGTGCCATTTTAGTTAATTAACATTTCCAATACAAAATATTGTTAATTTTAGTGAGTATAAGGAATATTCATTAATCAATCATAAGTTTATATACATTTACTATCGTAATATTTTGCTTATTTAATTTTATTTAATAAATTATTCAAGTTCATGAATATTTATTGTTACAAAATGTTATATTAATTAATAATTATAAGGAATATTTAAATATTACAAATATTTTTTTATTTTTACTTATTACAATAATTTAGTATAAAGATCGAAGTAGTATCTGTATTAAAGTCGTGAATATTTACTAATAAAAAAATATATATATATCTAAGTTTATTTATTCGCATTTAGTTTTTTTGCCTTTATCTGAAAATAATAAAATAAACTTTTTTATTATTATGAGGTTATTGTTTAGTAATGCTCTTAGTTTTTAAAAATTTATCATGTATTACTATTAGAATAAATTTTTTTAGAACTTTGAGTGAAGTTTTCTCAATAAAACCAAATCCGATGTAAATTTTTATTGTAAACTTTATCGATATTAGGCATTACAAATCATATAAAATTAAAATTTATAAAATTTGATTAGCGTTAGGCAAATTTTTGAAAAAATTATTTTGTCATATATAAACAAGTTGTATTTGAATTTTTTAAAAACTTTGAGTGAAGCTTTCTTAATAACTATCTACTAAAATTTGATGATTTTTTTTATTATTTTAATCTTTACTAACATATTCATCAAATTTAGTTAGGTAGTTGTCAAGAAAAGCTTCAAAAATTGTAAAAAATATGAAGTGATCTGCATTATATATTGATCATGTGGGTACATGGCTTTAATCGACCCCTACTAGGGGTCAATTTTTGTATTTAGCAATAACCTTTGATCTATTGGTCTATTTCGAATAATTTTATTACCAAAATGTTCCTCTCAATAAGATGATTCCAACAAGCCTAAAATTATCAAAATCCAATCACAGGATCTGATTTTATCATCGATTAACTGATATTTTACTCATAAAATTAATTATTTGA